ATGTTTTCACAAAACTGAGTTTGACTTTATCTGTCTGTGATGTATGTAAATGGAGGGAGTGGGATAGCGGTCAGGAAACTTGAGAGACTGTAGACACCCAGAGCAGGATATGGCAATCACTCTAGCTTTCCTATGGAGATGAGGTTGTGGATGGAAAGTTTTTACAAAATAACCATGAGTAAAATAGCTGCTGGAGTCTGCAGAAAAAGGACAGAGCAAAGTGGTAGAAGAAACAGAGGGCTGAGAAGTAGGTTGGAGTTAATGCTTTTTCTCACCACCACTGGATAGAGGTTCAGATACTTAAATTCTCTGAACACCTGCCCTCTTATGAGAGGGACAGTTTAATTACATGTGATCCCATCTAATTATAACACTCCATTATTTCCAGTTATTTTAGAATTTTACAGCTTTTGCAGGGTGGGCAATAGAAGAGACAGATAGAGAACATAGACACTGGTGTCAGATTTATTGGACCCAAATTCTGGCTGTGTTACTTTCTGTGAATCCTGTGTGACCTTGGGCAAGTCACTTCATCTTTTGGTGCTTATGGTATTTATGTTCAATGTAGAGATTTTTTTTTAAGTTAACATGTTTAATACTTGTAAAAATATTTCTAAGAACATAAAAATTAAAATATGCATGTTTGCTTTAATGGGATAATATAATAGAAATACTCTAGACCAGGAAAGTGCATTTGAAGGTATTCTGCAAGTACAGAGAGGAATTATAGTTTAAGCTTTAATCATTGCTGTTATGTGCTAAGCAGACAGTCAGCAGCGTCTTTGCTGAATGCATCATCCCATCTTCACTCCCCTCTCCTTTCTCCTCATTGTATCTGGCAACAGTTCTGAAGAGGCATTAGAGCTGATTTATTAATTTGGGAAGTGTGGTGTAAGGTGCAGTCCCCAGAAACCTTCAGCTTCTTCCATGGGAGTTTCTCTTTCCACAGGCTCATTTTGGGGCTTGCCTTGTCAGGAGAGGAGGCCTCCATGGTAAATGACACTAGCATACCATGAATGTGTGGCCCTTCCTTTCCCCACTGCCCCAAGCAGGATGCTCCACATCTTGTCCTGCTGCCTCCCTTGTCCCTTGTCCCACAGATGGTTCTGCTCCAGGCTCACACCACTCACTGGCCCTCCTCCCAGAGTCCTCCCTTCACACCCATCATCACTATTCCTGGAAGGTCTCTGCTTCTTCCTGGGCTGCTCAGGGCCATGGGAACTGGGCATCTGGTTGCTGCTGGGGAAGGGCAAAGCCTGCCTTTGACTTGCAGAGTTTACCAAGCTGTTTATGAGAAAGAACCTCATGCATGACCACTCCTGGGTTTGCCAGGAAGAGGCCCCCCGATGCTGAACTTGTGTCAGTGCCCTTTACAAGGCCTGTGAATTCTCTCCTTGCCCTCTGCTTGGAATTTAAATTAAATGCTTATTTTATAGAGGAGAGATCTAAAGAAAAAGAGCTTCCCTTTTTTGATTTGAGGAATTTACAACTTTTCTGAGATTCCTTATTCATATTAAATAATGTAAATAAGTGGAAACTTGTTAGTATGTGGGTTTCTAACTCTTCAGGGATGCCAGACTTTAAGAGATCATGGATGGTTTTCTCTAAGAGTTTAGTTTTTTCTTAGTGTTTTCGTGGCTTTTATTTCCAAAGACAAGTGCTGAGACATGAGGAAGGGAGAAAAGAGGTCCTGGCTTGCTTCCTAACCTTCCAAGATTCCATCAAAACTTCACATTTTCTGACCCCTTTGTTGTGTGACTTTTGGTGAGGCTGGCTCCTATCTGTGCTAAGGTGGTAAAGAACAGCTCCCTGTGTGCCAAACACAGACACAGACATGATTGTCATGCTAGTGTATGTAAAAGTCCAATTAAATTGTGGGTGAAGGATTGGGGGCTTGGTATCTTATATTTATAAACCTTTTAAGTTCATCCTTTGGGGCTTGTGGTATGGCTGTGATTGCTGAGTGGTTGTTTATTTACTTATTTATTTTTCATTTTCTGAGTACATAGTAGGTTTATATATTTATGGGTTACATGAGATATTTTATTGTAAGCATGTAATGCCTAATAAACATTGCAGTATGCCATCTTCATTATTCTAAAATGTTCAATTAAATTATCTTTTACTATAGTCACCCTGTTGTGCTAACAAATGCTATGCCTTAGTCATTCTTTCTAACTTAGTTATTTGGTTAAATCAGTCAGAGCTCTGGGAGAGCTGGATGGGTTGAATGTGGAGGTAAATCAAGGGAATTCAGAAGGATATTTGTGATAACTAAATGACCTTAAAGCAAAACTCACGCTTATGTTTGAATTTTGCTTCACCACATAGTAGCTGTTTTATATTAAGTAAAATAGTTAAGCCGTTTCTCATCTTCAGTTTCTTCGTATCTTAAATATGGCTGCAAATACCACCTGTATTTTCAGAATGTCATGGGATTAAGTGGGTTCTTACTGGTAAAACATTTAGAAAAGTATCTGGCATCAAGAACATGGCAGTGAAAGCTGTGTTACATAAGCTGGAACTTTCTTGGTAAGGAGAGGAAGCTAAGTTGTAGGAAGGATTTCTTACATCTGCAGAGCACAAATAGGCCATGGAAGGTCCTCAGTGAACCTGGTACTACTTAACCTAATTTCCTCTTAGGTCTAATGTTTGCAGTATTCACATGTCTGCCAAGGACCAAAAGAAGAGGGAAATTATCTCTCCTTCATAAGTGTAAAATTTTTATTACAGGGGTGGAAAGGAGGGAATATCTACAAGGAGATGGCCAACAGCACCAAAAATTAGCCAGAGCCTTGAAACTTCCTAAGTCTTATTAAGGCATATCAAGACATTGCCCCACTGGAGGCTACGTTAACACTAGATGGGCAGGGTAATGATTTTCACCTATGAGACGACTTTCAGAGTGAATTTGGTAAAAAGATTTAAACAAGCTTATGAGAATGTCGTAAAACTCAGTCAGAGGAAAGAACCTGGGGTTACTGAGGAAAACGAGATCAGCATTGAAGGAATAGGAACTATGACCTCCTTGAAAAGGGTATCATTTTGGAATCACAGTGGCTGCCCGTAAATATCCTAAATTTTTTTTTGTCTTGCATGTGGAATTTGGCCAGTCATATATGCAAGCAATAAGGGTCACTCAATAGGGACAGAGCTATTTAGGGCAATAAAGGTTTTTATGAGAGTACTCTCTCAATTATTATTTGTTTTATATCTCTCTTTTATATCACACTAGCAATAATACATTTTAGTAGGCACTATAAAGTATTAGATCCTTTATACCGGGAAAGTCATTGCTTGTTTGGAATGTTCTTGAAATGTAGATGAACTCATATTTTTAAGAAATACCACAAAATGTTTTGTTTTGATTTTTGTTTAATTAATTGTGTCTTTACTTTTTATCATATCAACCTGTGATGGTACCAAATATACTGGATTCCTCCCTACTCTATCCTTTGGTAACTCTGTAGAGCATGACTTAGCCTCTTATTTATAGAAACAAGAAAGACATCTTTCACTGATGCTAAGTGTTTTAGAAAGCATAACTCATTTTAGTAAATGCAGAAATTAAATGGACTACATTTATAACTATGTATAAAGCTATCATTTGGAATAAATACTATTAATATTTGATATCTTTGTTTAAAATCTTTAGCTTTTATAAAACAAAGGAAAGATTTAAAAACTCACTCTAAAATCTCTATGCAAATAATATAAGTGGTTATGTATATTCTTGAATTTCAGATTTTTATTCTTTAAACTACATGTGAATTGACCAAAAAATTATACAATGTTAATTGCTATCTTTTTAAAGAATCCATACATTTTATTAAATAGTTTATAACTTCCTGCAACTGACAGTTTTGTATTCAACATTATGTTTTTGAAACTAAGCCATGTTGATAAATATCTAGCTTATTTGCTTTAATGTGTTTAGTATCTTATAATACATTATCTATTTATGCCAATTGATACACCTGTCTCTGTGAACATTTAGGTTAGTTTTTTTTCTAATATTCCATTTTGAATTTTTTTTTTTTTTGGATGACGATTCCACTAAATACTCAGTTGATTCTGCTAAATGCTCAATTTCATCACATCATCTGTGACTTTAAGAGATTTTTAATTTCATACTGAATTCTTCAATGAAGCCTACCCTCATATCCAGCTATTTTGAGCTTTCTTAAGCATTAGCTCACTGTACAGGTCCCACCTGCTTCGACTTGGAGAATGCCTATATCAGGCTAGCTACTTATATTAAAACCTGGCTGGACATATTGGTTTACATGTATGTAATTCTTAAGGCTTGACATCTGAAGTAGGTCTTGAGAATTCCTGAACCTGAAAAGAAATAGAGGAATGGCAGGGCACGGTGACTCATGCCTGTAATTCCAGCATTTTGGGAGGTCGAGTCGGGCAGATTGCTTGAGGTCAGGAGTTCGAGACCTGCCTGGTGAAATCCTGTCTCTACAAAAAATACAAAAAATTAGTCAGGCATGGTGACATGTGCCTATAATCCCAGCTACTCGAGAGGCTGAGGCAGAAGAATCGCTTGAACCTGGGAGGCAGAGGTTGCAGTGAGCTGAGATTGCACCACTGCCCTCCAGCCTGGGTGACAGAGTGAGATTCTTTCTCAAAAAAAAAAAAAAAAAAAAAAGAAAGAAAGAAAGAAAAAGAAAAGAAAAGAAATAGAGGAACAACCTAAGCAACCAGCAAATTGTGCTTAATCATGTGACTCAGCCAACTCTTCCTCTACCCCTACCTATACTTAATATAAAAGAAGGGACTCCATATTTACAGAAAGGACAAGGAAATCTACTCTTTTCCTCTTTCTAGAACTACTAAAGGTCATAGGCACTGGACACCTGGTTGCTGCTGAGGAAAGGCAAAGCCTGACTTGCACTTGGACAGTTTGCCAATCTGTTTATGGTAAGTTGATGTCATTTGCGGTCATTCCCAGTGAGTGCCAGGAAGAAGCTAGTTCGGCTGCCAGAATCTCTCTGTCTCAGTGCCATAAGTAGGCCCTCTGATCCTCACTTCTTGCCCTGCCTCTTGCTTAATTTATGCAGCTCTATTCGCAGACCTTGTAATAAACCTCCAACCAGTGCCTGGCCCAACAAGCCACTTCAGACCCAGCAAACGGGTAAGTGGACATTACAGGAGGAGGGCAACTCTAACATGGGCTCTTCCTCTTTCATCTTGGGGAAGATTCAGGATAATTTTCTAACCAAAAGGTCTCCACAGTAATGAAGCCTAAGCACGAGACATATGTGTTTCTGGGTTACAGGATCTGTATAATCTCCAACCTGTAGAGAAATGTTGAGGTTGTGAGTATCTGAGATGGCCTTGCTGCCATCAGGAATCCAGAGAGAGGAAATTATAAGGAAGGTAATCATGCTCTGCTCTTCACTGCTCAAACCCTCTTCCCTGTGTTCTTCTATAGAGATCGCTGATTTGCTCCTTAAGTAAGATTCACTGCTGCTCAGCATGGCTCAGCCCAACTCATGCTTCATTCTGATCTCCTGCCTGATGTTTCTGTCTCTGAGCCAAGGTGAGATTTTTCCCCCAGACCTCCGCAACCCCAGCCATGAAGCCTTCACTCCATCCTCATGCATATGGGTTCATGTGAGAAAAAGCAGAGTCAAGTTCAGGGGTTGTTTTCTGTTCTTCAATGACCTTTATTGCTGATTTCATCCCATTCAAAAACATCCTGACCTCATTAGGGAGTTAGAGATGGAACTTAGAATGACCCTTTATCAGTGAGCACTGCAGGTGGCATTGGTTTATCATATTAACACTACTCATGATGGGGGATTTGGGGATGTCTGTATGCAGACAGTCATTAGTGGAATGGTGAACTGAGGGGAGCTTTGTGTGTAGAGAAACCAGACAAGCTTGAGACAGGCAGAAGCCTGAGTATTTCGAGGCAGAAAAGCCTGAGCCCCATACATAAAAGGGACAATGGGGACACATTTCATGAGCCTATTCATTGTGTGCTCTTGTCTTGAGCAAAAACATGTTGAGAGAATATAGATAAGATGCAGGAGGGCAGTAGTGACCAATCACTTCATGACCTATAGCATCCTTCTCTTCCTATAAAGAATCCTCAGAAGCTCCTACCTCACCATCCAACCTTTGCCCTGCTCTGAGGGTCTTTCTTAATTGTCTCTCTTTTCCAGGCCAAGAGGTCCAGACAGACTTGCCCAAGGCCCGTATCAGCTGCCCAGAAGGCACCAATGCCTATGGCTCCTACTGCTACTACTTTAATGAAGACCTTGAGACCTGGGTTGATGCAGATGTGAGTGAGGAGAGCAGTGTGGGAAGGGAGGCTCATGAAGGGGGGGAAGCTGCCACTCTCCAGTGTGTTCAGTGGCTGATATGAGATGAAACTAGTCCCCTCCCTATCTGATCATCAGCCCAAAACTTTCCAATCTACTTTATCCCATCATTCAGCACAGAGATGCCGGTGGTCAGTGACAGCATCATCAGGGACATTTCTGTGCTGTCCATTTACTGACACATCCTCTGGCAAGGCTCAGTATATCCCCCACACTTTCCTCCTCCACTGAGTGCTCCATTTGCTTCTCCAACAGCTCTACTGCCAGAATATGAATTCAGGCAACCTGGTGTCTGTGCTCACCCAGGCAGAGGGTGCCTTTGTGGCCTCACTGATTAAGGAAACTAGCACTGATGACGGCAATGTCTGGATTGGCCTCTATGACCCCAAAAAGGTCAGTCTGCAGCCTCTTTTATCTCTTGATTATCAATTTTCAGAAGAAAGAGGGAAGTCTAAGCTTTGGGAACTCTAGAACCAGCTTTTATCCTTTCTTATTTTTAATAAAAGGGACATCTTTAGAGATCCTATGATGTATGAGGTAGTGAGATTCAGTGTAGGTAGTAGGAGAGATGAGTGGAAACTGGATATTCTAAGTGTCCTGGGCATTCATTAATGCATAAACTCTATCTACTTCTAGGAAAGCATCTTTATATACCACCTCTTACCCATTTTATTATTGTCTTTCTTGAACAATATCCTTCTATAGACTATATACAAAAAGGTACTAGTGGAGGACAACCTACTTATGGTATTTGGGAGCCTGGTGTTATACTAAACAATATACCAACAACTAATGGGCAACCAGTGGCATGGTGAATATGAGGGTCATGGGTCTCAGGAGAGAAAAATAAGAAACCACATTCCATAATGAACTTTTATTTATTTATTTATTTATTTATTTATTTATTTTGTACCAACTTCAGAACATTTGTCATTTTGTGTGAGAGTGGGAGAGAACTGGACATTCTGGGAAAGGAGAAGCTTAAAGCAAAAGCAAAGGAAAAAATGTTCTATTCATGGGAACAATAAGGTTTATTCTTACCTTATGTTTGGCCTGTTACTGAGTGTACACACAGGCCAGGTATTTCTCTTTCCAAGTCACCTCTTTCCCTCTTCTGGCCTTTCTCCATCTAGAATCGCCGTTGGCACTGGAGCAGTGGGTCCCTGTTCTCCTACAAATCCTGGGTCATTGGATCCCCAAGCAGTATCAATCCTGGCTACTGTGTGAGCCTGACTTCAAGCTCAGGTAAAAGGCAGAGAATCCATCCATTTGTTTACCATTCCCTCCTGCTTAGTTCTGGGGATGAACGTAGGAACTGGGGTAGAGATGAGGTGAGATCCTCATCCAAGAAATGGTGAAGTGTTTTTTTCTTGTTTCTTGTCCCGAGTCCTAGATCCAGAGAGGGGCCACACTCCTTTCAAACCCCTTATTCTGACTCTTCTCATTGTGTCTTAGGATTCAAGGGATGGAAGGATGTGTCTTGTGAAGAAAAGTTTTCCTTTGTCTGCAAGTTCAAAAACTAGAGGCACTGGAAAATGGACGTATAGAAGTGATCCTGCAATTACTACAGAGTCAAAAATTAAACTGGACTACATCTCCAACTCAGTTCAAACCCTCTCTTCTCTACTGAATTTGCATCGGTGACCTTTAGTACCTTACCCACCCCCAGTCTCCAGAAATAATAAAAATAAACATGTTTTCCCCACTGTGCTGTCTTCTGCATTTGTTCATTCCACAGTCTATGTCTGAATGGTTGGGGTTGGAATGATTGCAACATTTCAGAGCTTGCTTTTTCCTAGCTATTTTTTAAAGCCTCATTTACATATCATGCCTGTTGCACTTACAAACATGTGATGCCCTTTCTTATGACAAGTTAAGAAGATAAAGATTTCAGCCATATCCTGCATGTTACCATGGACCTAGTTTGTGTTAAAGAAATAACTGCATTGTAAATCTAGAGATGGCTGGAATATTTGGTATCATGAAAGGATTTACATAATTAGGGTCTAAGGAGTCCACATCTTTTCTCAAATATGCAGGTTGACTTCATGACTGAAGTGATAATTCAAGAAGAATTGTCAGGTATAGAGAGAGGACTTCATTGGTGGTAGAATAACTAGAGGTTGGAAGACCAGGAAGTTTTGTTAAATGGTGCTACTTCAATAAATAAATAAATAAATGATAAATTAGATAAATAAAAATCTACAGGCATATTAATTCCCTCATTAAAGATCCTATCTCCAAATATGTTAAATTCTGAAATACTGAGTTTTAGGACTTCCACAGATTAATTTTGTAGGAATTTTTCTGAGAGGCAGAGCAAGATGGCAGAATAGAAGACTCTGCCAATTGTCCCCCTTCTGCAGGGACACCAATTTAACAAGTATTCAGAAAAAACACCTTCATAAAAACCAAAAGTCAGATGAGTCCTCTTAGTACCTGGATTTAACTCTGAATTACTGAATGGTAATGGTGACACATCCTCTGAGAGAGCTGACACATCCTCTGGGAGGGCTGAATTACTGAAAGAGGCACTGAAAAGATAGAAAAAACAGTCTTGAATCGCTGATGCCAGCCCTCACCCACCCACAGCAACACTAGCGTGGTGCAGAGAGCATCGCTGAGCACTGAGAGAGGGAAAGTATAGCAATTGTGAGGCATTGAACTCAGCACTGTCCTATGAGAGCCTAAAGGAAAACCAGACCAAAATCATGTGGATGAAGAGTCAAACTCTTTAGAATATTTGAAGAGATTTATTCTGAGCCAAATATGAGTGGCCAACGGCCTGTGACACAGCCCTCAGGAGATCCTGAGAACATGTGCCCAAGGTGGCTGGAGTACAGCTTAATTTACACATATTAGGGAGACACGAGACATCAATCAAATACTGGAAGCTGGGGGTGAGGGGGATGGTGCTTCCAAGTCATAGGCAGATTTACAATTTTTCTGATTGGAAATTGGTTGAAAGAGCTAAGTCATTATCTAAAGACCCGGAATCAATAGAAAGTAATGTCTGGGTTATGGTGAAAAAAAGTTGTGGAAAACAAAGTTTTATCATGCAAATGAAGCCTCCAGGCATCAGGCTTCAGAAAGAACAGATTGTCAATGTTTGACATCAAACTTAAAGAATCTATTCTATCAGTAATTCCAAAAGAGACAGGGTATAATGAGGCGTGTCTGAACGCTGCCCACTATCATGTCCTGAACCAGTCCCTCAGGTTAGCCCTGGAATGCCCTTACCTAGAGGAGGAGTCCATTCAGATGGTTGGAGGGCTTAGAATTTTATTTTTGGTTCACACTCTGCTGAAATCTTCCCACACATGGAGAGTTTAAAGCAGCCCCAGTCAGAGGGGAATTTCCAATCCCAGTGGTTGGAACTTTAATTTCTGCACACCTCACCACTGCAGGCTAAAGTGCTCTGTGCTCTAAAAAAACTTGAAAGGCAGTCTAGGCCACAAGGACTGCAGCTCATAGGCGAGTTCTAGTGCTGAACTGGGCCCAGTGGACGCTGGTGGGGGGTGGAGAAAGAGATCTACAGAATCACCAGCTGTGGTGGCTAAGGGAGTGCTGGCATCACCTCTCCCCCTAACACCAGGCTGCAAAGCTTGCAGCTTCAAAACAGACCCCTTCTTTCTACTTGAGGAGTAGAGACTGAAGAGTGGGGAAGACCTTGTCTTGAATCCTGGATACCAGCTCAGCCACAGTAGCATAGAAAACTGGAAAGAGTCATGAGGTCCCTGTTCCAAGCCCTAGCTCCAAGCCCTAGCTCCTGGCTGATATTTCTAGATACACACACACATTTCTAGACAACCTGCTGCCTTGAAGGGAAGGGTCCAGTCCTAAAAACATTCATCATCTGCTAACTGAAGAGCCCTTGGGCCCTGAATAACCAGCAGTGATACCCAAGTACTAAGTCAAAGGACGTGGGTTAGCCTCTGAGAATTGCTCACTTCACAGGAGACTCAACACATTACTGGCTATGGTGGCTATCAGGTGAAATTCCTTTTGCTTGAGAAGAACACAAGGAAAAGTAAAGTGGACTTTGTCTTGCATCTTAGGTACTAGCACAGCCCCAGCGGGGTAGAGCACCGAGTGAGCTGTTAGGTTCCTCGATTCCAGGATTTGACTCTTGGACAGCATGTCTGAACCTGCTCTGGGTCAGAAAGTAGCCCACTTCCCTGAAGGGTAAGTCCCAGGCCAGACAAATTTCACCACAACTGACTTAAGAGCCCTTGGGACTTAAGGGAACATTAGGTAGAATGCAATACTCCCCGTGGCCTGTGGTGGCAGTGGCTACACAGGGAGGCTCCTCTGCCTTTGGAAAGAGCAAAGAAGAATGGAAAAGACCTTGTTTTGTGGTTTGAGTGCCAGCTTAGCCAAAGTACAATAGAGAATCAGGTAAACTTCCAACATTTCTAATGCTTGTCCCTGCTACTGGGCAGCACATCTGGACCTGCCCAGGGCTTGGGGAACCTTGCCACCCTGAAGTAAATTGTTTCCTTTGCTGTGCAAAAGCTTTTGAACTTGATGTGATCCCATTTTGCCATTTTTCTTTGGTTGCCTGAGCTTGTGGGATATAACTCAAGAAATTTTTGCCCAGACCTATGTCCTGTAGATTTTCCTCGATGTTTGTTTGTTTTTTCATTCGTTTTTGTAGTAGTTTCATAGTTTGAAGTCTTATATTTAAGTCTTCAATCCATTTAATTTTTGTATATGGCCAGAAACAGGGGTCTAGTTTCATACTTCTGAATATGGATATCCCATTTTCCCAGCACCATTTATCGAAGAGACTGCCTTTTCCCCAGTGTATGTACTTGACACCTTTATCCAAAATGAGATCATCACAGGTGTGTGTAACAGTCACTTCTCAGTCCTTGGAAGAGTCGTCACTGCTGGCCTCATAGCACAAGTCAGAGAGAATTCCCTCCTCTTCAATTTTTTTGAATGCTCCTGAACTTTTCTTTGTTGGGAGACTATTTATTACTAATTCAATTTTATTACTCATCACTGGTTTATTCAGGTTTTCCAATTCATCCTGATTCAATTTTGGTAGGTTGTATGTATATAGGAATTTGTCTACTTCCTTTAGATATTCCAGTTTGTTAGTATATATTTGTTCATAATAGTCCCTGGTGATCTTTCTTAACTTGTGTGGTATCAGTTTTAATGTCGTTTTCATTCTGATTTTGTTTATTTGTATTTTCTCTCATATTCTTGGTTACTTTAGAAATCAAGATAAAAGAGAGAAAATATTTATTTTTATTCTTTTAAAAAAACAACTTTTTGCTTTTTTTTTTTTTGGTTCCTTGTATGTTTGTAGTCACCATTTTATTTATTTATGCTCTTATCTTTATTATATATTTTCTTCTGCTAATTTGGGGTTTGATTTGTTCTTATTTTTCTAATTCCTTAAGGTGTGTCGTTAGACTGTTTATTTACAATTTTTCTATTTGTTTGATATAGGCATTTATTGCTACAGACTTCCCTTTTAGCACCGCTTTTGTTATATTCCATAGATTTTGGTATGTTGTATTTTAGTTTTCACTTGTTTCAAGATATTTTTTGATTTTTTAATTAATTTATTCCTCGACTCTGTGGTCATTCAGGAGCATGCTCTTTAATTCCCGTGTGTTTGTACAGTTTCCAAAGTAAAGTTTTCAATTCTTGTTATTGACTTCTAGTTGAATTTCATTGTAGTCTGAGAAAATACTTGATAGGATTTTGATTTTTTAACAATCATCAAGACTTAGTTTTATATCCTAACATATGCTCTATTGTGAAGAATATTCCATTTGTTTATGAGAAGAGTGTGTATTCTCTGTTAGATCAAATGTTTTGTATGTGTAGTAGGTCCGTTTGGTTGAGCATGCAGTTTAAATCCAAAGTTTCTTTATAAATTTTCTTTCCAGTGATCTATCTAATTCTGAGAGTGGGAAAGGGGTATGGAAGTCCCTGACTTTTATTCCATTGGAATCTCTCTCTGTCCCTTTAAATCTAATATTATTTGCTTTATGTATTTTGGTACTTTTATGTTGGGTGCATTTATGTTTAGAATTATTATATTCTCTTGCTGAATTGATCCCTTTATCATTTTGTAATTAACATCTTTGTGCCTTTTCAGTATTTTAGATTTAAAGTCTGTTTCACCTGATATAAGTATGACTATTCCTACTTGCTTTTGGTGTCCATTTGCATGGAATATCATTTTCTATTCCTTTACTTTCAGCATTTTTACAGGTGAGATGAATTTATTATAGGTAGGATATAGTGGAGTTATTTTTCTAAAAATCCATTCAGTCAGTTTTTTAAGTGGAAATTATAATCTATTTACATTCAAAGTTTTTATTGATATTTGAACACTTATTCCTCTCATTTTATTAATTGATTTCTGATTGTTTTGTACATCTTTCATTTCTTTTTTTCCTCTTCATTGTTTATCATTGTGGTTTGGGGGCTTTCTGTAGTGATAACTTTTGAGTCTTTTCTCTTCCTTGTTTGTGTGTTTGCTTACCAGTGGTTTTGATATTGTTATGTTTTCATGATGGTAGATGTTGTTCATTCACTTTTGGGTACAGGACTCCCTAAAGCATTTCTTGTAGGACCGGTATAGTGATGTGAATCCCTTTACCTTTGGTCTGTGTGAGAAAGGCATTCTTTCTCCTTCATTTATGTAGGGTAACTTTGCTAAGTATAGGATTCTTGTCAGGC